CAGCCATGTTCATAAATTCCAGGATTCCATACCACATACCTGCAAATTAGAGAAGCCATGATAATAAAGGCAGATGAAATATCTACATCCAACTAAATTGAATTCAAATTTTTAGTTCTTATTCAGTTGTTTTACATTGATTCAAAGTTTGTAATTTATAGATGTCAATATAATTATTGATATATTTCTTTGCTTAACACTCAATATCAAGCAACCCTTTTTTAAGAATATAGTCTTTAGAATTTCTATAGAGTTCTATGTAATTAAACAGAATTTTATGGATTGCTGAATATTTACCAGAATATAATTTTATAGAAAATTTCTCATGGAAGTTTTTAGAATTCATAGAAAATTTCCATAGAAAATAAATATTTGCTAGTATAGACTTTTAATGGAAATTTAATTTTATAAAATCCTGAAACATTTGTGTAAAAGTAAATAGATGAATTCAACATTTAAATATTTAGTCTATTGAACTTCTATTGTAATTGTATGGAAATTTTGTGGAAAATCTCTAGAATTTTTATTGAAATTATACAGAGCTAAAAGAGTTTGTCATTTTCATTATCAAATTATGTAAAATATGTATAGAATTAACAGTGAGATTATTATAGAGATAACAATGCCTTTCTCTCTGAATTTCTATTCATTTTCTATAGAATTCTCATAGCTCGTCGGAGATTGGCCCCCTGTTCTATAAATTTTTTGGAGAATTTTTAGATTGTTTCTATAGAATTTCAATGGAAGTCTTATACAGAATTTCTATAGAATTCTGAAGATGTTCTATATAACTTTATAGATTTATTTTTTTTATGGAGTTTTGGTTTTCTGTTTTACAGAATTTACATACAGCTTCAAATGAATTCCATAGATTTCTATAGTAAACATTCATGGCAATACAATTTGCAAGAAAAAATTGAGAACTATTCAAGACAGTTGTATTTATCTTACCAATATCTTGTGCAACTAGGGCTACAGGTCTTCTATTGAACCAGAGTAATCTTTTAGCATCAACACGTATATCACACAGATTAGTTAGCAGAGCTATTAACGGAGCCAATGGTAGAGAACAGGCAAACAGCTGTCAACAAGAAAACAATAAATGAATTGAGACATTATTTTTGCCTTTTCCATATTGGTAAAGTGTGCCACATAGATTAGAAGTGGGGGAATGCTTGTTTTCTGTTTCAATAATTATTTTGTCGACTGAATTTACACAAAAACAAAAATTAAAACTGCCACATTACATAATTTTTCAATATCCTTATTTAAACACGAGAAGCAA